GCAAGTGACTCAGCACTTTTCCCTCCAGTTCACTTCATTAGAAAAATGAACCAAGGGAACCATCGGGATCTCGGGTGTAGATGGCAAAGGAAGGGGTCATCACGGATGAAATGGATTCTGCGAGAATGAGTCTTCTCGCTTTCCAAAGCTATATATTTTCTTTAGCTCCACATTCTAAAACAAAGCACACATAATACCCCAGCCCACACCCACATTGTGCCGAGCTGCGCTCTGCCACGGAGGGTGTGACTGTAAAGTCATAATAAACAGAGCCGCCAGAAGAAACCATTTAACGAGGCCCACCTATGCGCTGCGGAGCACAGGGGAGAAGCTGGGGAGTATTGCACCTGGCCGGAGTTCAAGTGCTGGGGCTAAATGAGCCTGCCCTTGTTTCTCTGAGCTGGGAAGAAGGGGGCTTGTTAAGGAGCAGGAGGGAAGAGGCCGCCGGACGGGGTGAAGGCGGTAGCATCTGGGGTTCTTTTCTTCACTTCTTTTCAGAGAGGCACAGCACACTGAATAGCATGTGGAAAACTGGCATTTCCAGTGAATAGGAAGGAACTGGCAAGGAGCAGAAGGGAAGCCGGGGGAGGCTGCCAAGCACAGGCCTGTCCCCTCTTGTCAGAGAATGGACATGTGACCCAAGGCAGATTTTACCTGCAGGGCTGGCTGCGGTTCAGAGGGCTGGAGATTTCTGGGTAACGCTGCACACTTGGCAAGACTTTTAAAAAGTGTGACTCTTCTTAAGGAAGGATAAAAAAAGAGACCACAAAAGCGATGTGCGTGAGTGACGGTTCAAGTGTTTCAGTGGAGAGGACTCACTTTTCTTCTGGGGAAACACACACACACACACACACACACACTGAGTTATTTAAAAAGTGAAAAAACTAACACAACTCTCTAGGCTTCTGGCTTTTGAAGAAGATTGTTGACCTGTTATTTTCAAAACAATCCTGTCTTTTTATAAGAAAGCATCTTTCCAGCATTATGATATGTTTATTTGTGCAACAGTTTTGTTCCCTTCACAGCAATGCAGCATGGCATTAAAATATTTGAAACTAAAACTTGCCTTTATTCTTGTGTACTTCAAAGTACATGAGTGAACACGCAGAGCTGTGAAGTGTTTGGTTTTAGTCAATAGCAGCCAAACCCATGGCTTTCCTGTTGCTCACTATATTCCTTTGCAACAACAACAAAAGCCTCATCATACATGATATACAAATCATATTTTCACTCAGATCAATGATTTCTGAATGCAGAACACATCCATTTGGTCCCGTAGTTCAAAAAAGAAAAGTTCCCAGTGAGAAGACAGGTTTTGTGTCTGTTCTGTTTCCACAGAAATGACCTCTACAAAGGTTGTGCACTTAGAGTTTAGTGACAAGGATGTGAGAAACCACATCACAAAAGTAACTCACAATCAAGACCTTTCAAGGTCGTGAGGTTCTCAAGGTCACCACTGCTCTTAGACCACATCATTACACTACAGTGAGGCACACTTGGGTGTTTAGCTTTCAAAATAATTGGACACTGATGTTACAGGAACACAGGGCACAAAGGAAAAAGTCACAAATACCACTGCTCAGCAAACCCAGTCATCTGATAGGTAGGTGCCTCAGGTGACCGTCATCTGAAAGGTAGCTGTCCTCAGAACTGCAGATTGCTTGCCCTGGCAGGAAATGTACCAGCACCCAGGACAGCTGTGTTATGCTATGGGTCAGAAAGCTTAGGTCCAGTGACTGAAGGGCTAATCTTGGTCCAGGCTGAGTTTTCCATGTTCAGGCCCCGTGCATATTCAGTTACAACCCATTTTCTGCAGCTTCTGGGGAAGTGTGCTGGTCTCTCTTCCTTTTACTGTTTCCAGCATCTGAAATTCAAAAGGAGCTCTCAGGGTTAGAGGAAAGGAGAACAGCAAGCAGCATGACTATCACACCACGTTTCCCTTGGAAACAGGGGTCCGAGCTATCTGAGGCTTTCTTGGGGTAAGCACAGCGTGAAAGTCCACTCTGCACACCTTTGAACAGAATGAGAAAGAAATAAACATCTTTCTCCAGTGATTGCATTGCTTTGATGCATTTCTGCTAGAAGTCCACCTTATCCTTCTGAGGATAACTAATCCTAGAAAACCAAACTAATGAAGCAAACGCCGCTGCAGCGTCACCTCTGGTCCTCTCGTTTCCATTTCTCTGGGTGTGCACACGTGTGCCGCCTCGCATACAAACTACATGAGCACATTTCCACCTCTCAGGACCATGGGCAAAAGGAGGGAGTTTTACAGGTGCTCATTAAATTGGGTATCCTGAGTGTAATCATTATTTTCTGAACTGTATTTCTTTTTTTGTTTGTTTGTTTAAAATAATTGCGGAATTCGAGGTGGAGCATGTAGAGAAGGCTTGGAGCAGTCACAATCGGCGGTCCCTGCGGCAGGTGGTTAACAGTGCACGGGAGCTGTTGGCAGCACCCTCCTAACTGCTCTGTGAGGAACTCACCTGGGCTCCGGCCCTCACTGGGCAGCTTCGCACCCCCACCAGACCCAAGCTGACATCTCAGGAATGCACTGATCTATTGGGCCTCGTGCGCTCTTAGACGTCTACAAAGTGAAGCAGAATAATCATTCAAGCTAGAAAAGGCCTTGCCCGTGAAGGTAAATTCTCCTCGTTTCTCTAGGAAGGATGCTCCATTCTGGCTCTTTATATGTTTCTCTTATGAAAACATCCATGCAGCTGGGCCTCAGCACCCATCCTTTTGGAAATTTCTCCCCTGTCACTTTGGGCTTGGGACTGTGGGTCACCAGTCCTGTGGGATATGGTAATGGGACCCTAAGGGAATAATCCTAGAAGTCTTATTTCTTTGCCTTCAATTTCCCCAAATTTTTAAAAAAAATTAGTACATAGTTTCAGTATGCTTATTCTCCTGTGGGGAGCTGGGGCAGGTGCGCACCACACGCTCATTCCTGCTTTCATCCCCCTCTCCCCTCCCTTCATCTCTTGATCTCCTTTCCATCTGAGAAAGATCTGTCTCTCTACTTCCTACTACCTGTATTTTGTTCTTTATTTATATTTTGGGTTGCTCGTTTAAGAGAAACCCAGTATCCAGGCTTGTGTGTCTGATTTATTTCATTTAACATTATGGTGTCAAAGTGCATTCTTTTCCTACCAGTGACTCAATTTATCCTAATTTATGTCAGAGTCACTTTGTCCATTCATCTGTTAGAGGATAGCTGATTCTAAGATTTGCCTGTTATGAGCTGTGCTGTGGTGCATGGTTCTCTGTGACATGTCTTTAAGCTGAAAGTGTCATTTCTCATCGTACGGTTCTTTGGCACTTACCATCAAGAGTGATTAGTAAAAGCTAGTCCCAAGTTCTTTTCTTTGGCATGGGGGCGATGAGGGCTTGGTGGTAGAGCACTTGCCTAGCATGTGTGGGGCCCTGAGTCTGAACCCCAGGGTGACCCCACCCAGCAACAACAAACAGTTCCCACCTGCAAGTCTTGTCTGCTTCTAGCTCACTGTTTCTTAAAAGGTGGTGCTTGCTCGTAATGTTAAATGAGGAGCTACATTTAGGTGTGAAAGCATGCCTTCCGAAAACATGACAGGAGCAAATTGTGATTTATAAAGCGTGCATTTTCCATAACACATACCAAGTCCTTCAAGGAGCTCCAAGAAAGCCTCAGTGTCTGGAAGTCCCTTTACGCAGATCGCCCAGTTCATTACGGAGGCGTCCAATTCCATGTTAGCGGAAGCAACAGCATCGCTCAGTTTCTGCCTCCGCCCAAACTGCTGCCAGTGTGTGAGCACAGCTGGGCACACTGGGCATTGGCGCGAGGCCTCTGGGACTCAACAGCTGGCCAGGACTCTGGTCACTTCCACTATTCCAAGTAATCAGCCACCTTCACCTGGGACCAGCAGTCTCATGTCTTCTCCCACCATCCATCAAGCTGTGGAAGGGTAACTTGATTGCAAATAGGGTAAAGTCTCAGCTCTCTGGTGGTTCTTGCCAGGCAGCTGACTTTGCTCTGAGAGTGATCCCAGAATCAAAAGTGGCACCCTAGCTTGTAAATCTAATATTTTTGGTTTCTCAAATATCTTCTCAACATTATAAAACAGAATGAAGAAAATTGATTTTGGGAATCTGTAGCTCATTCATGTGTCTTTTCCGTGTAGAGGAAAGGGCAGAAAGAAGGACAAAACCATTGTGAGTCCTTCAAATAACTGAACTGGAGAAAAATCGGGGAAGTGAGAGAATTTCTTTTAAATAAAAATCTTTTTTTCTTTAAATATTAGAATCAGTAATTTAACCAGGGAAAACGATTGTGTGAATCCTTAGAATGCTCTTTTTGAAGTTTATTTGTTTATTTACTATTTATTTTTTGGTGGGAGCACCCTACCGTTCCTAAAACCAAGTGAAGACAAGAAGTGGCTGGGGCCATGACACATGGCTACATTCCTTTGAATGTGTATGAAGCACCGTGAATTCAGTGCCAGGAATTAAGAGGTGTTTTCATGCACAGGGCCTTTTACCATGAGCCAATTACTTCTGATTCCAAACAAAGAAGCAACCATCACTTCCTGCTGCAGGGAGAAGGAAGTGACCGCAGGGGCCTATGGGACCTGGGAGCAAGATCCTGTCTGTGATCTCCACTTCCTACAAATGCCAAAGGATGTCCTTGGTTGCTCTGGGAACAACGGTACTTTCTGTACAAGCATCTTTGGAACCGAATCAACAAACCATCTTGGCCACACTATGCAGTCTTTTAAGACAGAGGAAAAGAGATTTGAGACCAGTGTTGTTTCTCACCTGAACCAAACTGCCCCTTTCAGGCCCTGACCCATTGGGTTTCTGGTATGGGCTCAGCTCATAGCACGCACAGGCCTCCTCCAAGAGCTCTGACTGAATTTCATAATTAAAAAAAAAAAAAAAATAGAAGAAAGAAACCCTGCCATGATCTCTGTGGAAATAATTTCCAAATTCTTCTGCAGTTATTACATTTCCTGGCCCAGAAGCATAACGAGTTTAAAACATTAATTAGGAACACATTCCATCCCATGCCTCCCATGGTTAAACTGTTTAATTAAAGGCCTTGAGGCCTTCAGGGCAAAACAGTCAGTGCACAGTGTGATCATCTCCCTGTGATTCTCTTTGCTTTGTGATTCTTCATCTTTTGGAACATATTCGTTTATTCTAGGACTGTTTGGCACTCCCGCTTTGCCCACAGTAGACAAAAGAAGTCAGTAGTCGTTTGGGCTCTGGAGATTCCCGGACAGATTGGTTCTGATGGCTGCAGACAGTCACTTAATACCCAAGTATTCGCTGAGTGAGTGCAACCCAGGGTGTCACGGCTGCTGGAAGCTGGGTGAACAGGGCAGCTCCCTGCTTACAGCTCTGGGGAAGGAAGGGAGAGGAGGGGCGGACCAGGCTGCACCCCAAGAAGCCCGAGAGCCCGAGCTGTGGCCAGTGAGCGTGTTTTTTTGATGGCAGAAATGAAGTAAGCCACGTGGATGGGGTGGGATGTAGGCCCCCCTGGACAGACTTAGGCATGCGAAGGACAGGGTGAGGGAGAACACAGAAAAACAGTGAGAAAAGAGGAAGGGAGAAGGAAGGAGACCGTGAGCCATCAAAGCAAAGCTTAGCAATGGAAGTGAAAGAAGACGTCTGAGTCCAGGCAAGCAGGGAACCCGGCCTGGAGCCTCCAGGGAACAGGAAGCTGTTGAAGGTGCTTCTCTTTTTCTTCTTTCTTTCTTTTGTAGTGTTCTGATGTAACCTGTAGTTTGACGTGAGGACAAGAGAGTGAGAGCATTTACTTAGTCAGATGACGCAGAGCTTTATCCTAAGAACAAAAAGAAGGCCTCGTCGGGGGCGCTGGCACTGGGGAGCTGGTTATTCAGAGTGAACTGTGAGCAGTGAGTGCAAGCTGAGTGCAGAGAGCTAACACCAGGCGCAGAGAACCATACGAGGGTGCAGAAACTGAGCTGCCACACGCAGCTCTTCGGATTTGCAGCCCATTCTTGCACTTGGAGACTCACTTCAGACAGCGACAACCCCTCTGATTTGCTACCTTCCTTCAAACATCTTTTTGATGCTCATTTCCTGGTCTCTCACCTAGTGCCACAGCTAAGAAATCTCCTTTGCTTAATAGAATGGGCACATAGGACATGTGTCCATGGATAGGACATACCCATTGCATGGCTCCACCACGGGAGGCAGGAGGCTAGGTGCTGCTGATGGTCACTGCTGAAGCTGATTACTTCTGAGTTTAGTCCAGCATATGTGTGTGTGTGTGTGTGTGTGTGTAACGCCAGGCACAGGAGAGTAATCAGATGAGGGACAAAGGACTCAGGAGTCACCCTCAGAGTTAGCCATTCCTGTCGGCTTGAGAGCAGAGGTGAGGAGAGCACTGTGTCCAGAATGAAAGGTTTAATTATGCTTCTGTCAAAAGCGTGGAAACTATGGAAAGCCCCTAAGGTGGTGGAAGACAGAGAACCAAACCTTTTTAGGAAGAATCTTCAACAGAGCATCTGGACCCAAAGGAGGGTGCATTCTCGGCTGCTTCCCTGTTCACTTTGTCTTAGGTGGCATTTTTAGCCGGCACATGGCAACTGCAGCTTTGTGTGGGGCTCAGGGCACCATTTCAGCATCTTGGTTTGGTCATTACTCACTCACTTCGGTAACATCAGAGAGCAGTTTGTGGACAACTCCTAGCTTCTAAAATGCCCTTTGGGCAACCAGACTTCACACCTTTGAGCTATAATGAACATAACTGAGCCAACTTGAAATAGTTCCTCTTGGTGAATGACAGTACATTTTCTGAGGGAGAAAAGACTGCACTGTAAAAGAAATTCTCTGTGGCCTTTTTCTGTAAGACTCTGTGACTAGATCAGCACTTCGAGTGCATTGTGTAGAAAACATACAAAAACTTCACTAGTGTGGATGTAAAGTTAAAAATTCAGTATTGTGATGTTAGTCTGGTCCCAGTGTTGATGCAGTTTATCACCAGAGCAATGGGTGGATTTACAGTTCATGAGTTTAAAACCCAGGAGAAAGATCAGCCACATGTACGAGGAGAAGGCAGCTCACCACTGCAGTCCCCTGGGCGGCCTGTGCTCACTGCTGGCTGCTTGGACTTGATCTCAAACTCCAGCTCTATACAGGGAAATTAAGAAAGCAGTCAGTGTGTCCAGCACATGAAAACTGTGTGCTTTGTTGAAATGAATGGCATGCCCATTCATGACACAGGTTCAACATAGCTACTTAACTGTAAGGAGTCTCCTTTAGAAAATTATATAACAAAGGACATTCTTTAGGTCCTGTTAGAGATTGCTTGTATCATTAAAAATTAATGTGTGTCACTGTATAATCGTATTATTAAAGCTCATGTAACAGTGACTATTTTGGGGGCTGGATGTGGCTCGTGGTAGGGCATTTGGCGTGTGCCAAGCCTGGGCTTGATCCCCAGCGCTGTACGACAAACAGAAGCCACCCTGTATTTGCAAAAAGTTTACAGTACAAGTAAAAATAAAACTATTCGGCCAAAGTCGTCTTCCAGTATGTTTCCACGTTGACTTCTGGCCATTTATTAAGTCATGTATTGGACAGATATTTATCTAGTGTGAAATATCATAGATTTCTTTCTCAAGCAAGTTATAGTTTAGGAAGAAAGACAAACCATGTTTTTTTCCTTGAGAAATTTTATCAGTTATTCCTGTTGAAACATTCCTCCACTTTTTAGGTATGTGAGAAAATGAAAGGTGGTGGATTTTGTCCAGATTTTTGAGTGGGTCTGAAGACACATTTTAAACATCACTGTTTTGTTATTTTAGCCTTTGAAGTTGGCTTAAATTATCTTACTCTAATATTTAAAAATAATTCTCTTACATATTTTATAATACCTTATAATTTCAGTTTTATACTTACATAAACTTTCTAGAATTAATATGGTATGAAAAAGAATTTTAAAATGTCTAGCACTATATATTACTTTCTTCACATAAAACGTTGAAATAGGTAATATTCTTGGGAATTTTTATTATTTATTACTTTGAATTAATTTTTATTAACATTCTTGGGAGCTTTTGTGAATTTCTTATTTTGCTTTGTAGCTGTTCCAGTGACAAGTCCTCTGGTCACTACTGAGACGGGCGTTGATCTGGTCACCGTCCCTGTGTCATTGCCTGAGCCTCAGCCAGATTTTACTGCTTGTCATTCTTCCGTCTATCATGGGATCATCCTGATGTTCCCAGCTCGTCAAACACTGTTCTATGCATTTATTCCAGAAATATTTACAGAGAAACTCCAGTTTGCAGCCACTGTTCTAGGTATGACAGCGACAGTAGTGACAGAAACAGATGCTTTTCTCTACATGTGACTGTAATAATGGCACGGAGTGAACCACAAACACTGAGAACACCATAGTCTGGTCGGGAGAAGGAGTCACAGGAAGTGACCTTTGACAGAGACCTTTTAAAGACTTGAGACAAGAATGTCCTAAGTCCAGGCAGAGCGCAGGGCTCAACCCTGGGCAAAGTAACACAAGGCCTGCTGTGAGAAACTAGGTGCCCTCTGGCGAGGTCTCTGCAGCTCCACAGCCTTCCTCCATTTCTCCTTCTGGATGCTTCTCTGTGTCTGTGGCGTTGAGACTCAGGGTTCCTTGCTTGTGTTCACTCTCAGCTTTGGCTGCTTGAATCATTTGCTCTCTCCCTCTCATTTCCTCTCTACTATCATTTACCTTTAAGCTCGTAAACATGCTAAAGTCTCTTACATCTTAAAGTAACAATCATCAGGAGTCTGGAACGCGCTCTCTGGCCTGCTAACCTCTCGGTAGTTTTCAGTGACTCTGTTCTTTTCACACAGACCACCATTTCCATTGCTTCTTCACCCTTTTTCCTCAGTCCTCTACTCCGCTTCCTGTTATACCAGAAGATTCTGTGTTCAGTAAAGGTCAGCAACCATGGGGAAAGAAGTATGAGAACCACGGTGAGAGAGTCAGGCCTTAGAGTCTCAAAAGGAAGAGAGTGTTACAAAGCAGGAAATGATAGAAAAACTTGGGTGCCTCGAGTTGTTTAAAAAAGAACAGGAAAACTATCAGAAGTCATCATCACAAAGAAAACGTTACAGCATCACAGCTTAGAGGTGGTTTAGGTCTAATGCTGATGAGTTTTGCTTGAGTTTACGGGACAAGGCAGCGGAAATGGAATGGAAATTAAGGTCAAGAACGTGAGAACGCGACAAGGCACTGCGTGTTGTGTGAGTCACCCTCACCAGCTTCACTGAGCTGCAGAACCCCGGTGAGCTGGGCAACATGGTAAGCTGGTGCAAGAAAGAGGAGTCTCAAAGGTGAGAGGGAAGAGGCGCATGAGTGTGTGAGAGTGGGATGGGAAAGGAGGGGCCCTGTCCTTGATGTCACCATAGCCACGACCACCGCTCTGTAACCCAAGCAGGTTAGCAAGGGAAGAAGAGCGCACTGCCATGGCTTGAGAGTGGTGTGCGCCCTGCAAAATTCCTGTTGGGATTTATCCCTGTCTCTTCCACAGGATGTCATATGTCACCTTGAACTTCTGCTGGCAGAAAAGCCATCACCAGACATGGCCCCTTGACCTCAGACCAGAACTGTGAGCCAAAATAAATCTGTTATCTCTATAACACACCCAGTCCATGATACTGCATTGTTAGCAACAGAAAACTGAGTAAGACAATGACAGATTTATTAATCCAAGTTTTATATGACATGGAGCCTTTGGAAACCAAGACCCTCAGACAACTCAGTTTTTATCCTTTGGTTTGTTGGAAGTGGACAGCCACGTAGAAGTGCAACTGGACAGAAGAGTTTGATCAGTGGTCAGAGCCTGAGCGGGACCTGAGCAAGGCCTCTGTGTGTAACATTCCCCCCTCCCAGTATGCAGTAAGCTTCTCCCCTCTGGAAAGAGCCTCTCATAATAGACTGTCAGACCAAGAGCTCTCCCGAGGCTTCTCCGTGGGTAGGCCAGGGAGCGGGAGGGCAGGGAGGCTCCCCGTCTGTGCCCGCCGCCTGGCTTTCCTGTCTCCTTCAATGCAAAGCACTCAGCAAGCTCTGGTGCTGTGTTTGGATATAGTTGTCCGAACCCCAACAGCTGTAAATATTTGTTTTAACACAGAATAATTCCCTCGAAGCAACAGCAGGAGAACAATGACAATGTGAGGGAAGCAGTCCTCTCTCTTCCTGTTCACCTGGCCAGGTGAACAAATCAAGGACAGTCACATTTCGAATCTTGTGCATTCAGTACCCCACTTTCCAAAGCTAATCATTTTGCTTCTTTCCGTCCTAACAAACACTTCTTAAAAGTCGTATTTGAACCCGTCTCTACAGAGGCCACACCCTGGGGTCCTGATGGAGGAGGAAACCTGGACTTGAAGCCAGGCAGACCCCTGGCTCCAGAGTTTGCCCTGGTGAACCCCTGGGCACATCGACGAGCCACCTGAAACTCGGTTTCCTCATCTGTAAAACAGGGACGGTTGGAATACTGTGCCTGCTCTGTGGGATGGATGTGAGAGCTGTAGTAGGTATCACACGTGAAGGACCCTCAGTCTCATCTGTCACATCACGGGAAGGTGGTGCTGTCTTCAGTGCTGACAGCATTATTTTCACACAAAAGTAGCAAAAGCTACTTTGTCGAACAAAGGAAATACGTCAGAGTCAGCTACATAGAGTAGCTTGGTATTTCACAAGTACAAAATCAACACAATGATTTCTTAAATTTGTACCACATCCAGCAAGTTATGATGGTATGGAAACGTAAGTTGAGAGTGCCCGTTTCATCTCTTGTGTGACGTGTGCTTTGACCCCCAAGATTTTCTGACCATTTCCCCACGTTCGTTTCTCTGTCTCTCTCACAGTCTCTTCTCTCCCATTTCTTCACATTTCATGTTATGAACAGACAGCATGAATTCATAGAAAACATATGAATATTAGAATTGAAGTGGAACTTTAAATTTTTGTGTGCTACTGATTACTTATGAGTGATTTAACTGCTCATAACCGGAATATCTTCAGATTTAAATCGTGAACTGTGGAGGTTGGGGATTTAGCTCAGTGGCATAAGCACGTGCCTGGCAAGAGTGAGGTCGTGAATTCAAAGCCCAGTACCAAGTAAATAAATAAATAAAAATAAAATTGTGAACTGTGAAATCTACTTTGCAAGATTATCTCAAGCATTAGCTCTTATGTATTTTAAAAACTTTGCAAGTTGCTGGCACACAATAGGTAATGACAGCATAGAGTTAAATACAAACAGGAGAGAGGGAGAGAGAAAGACAGCAAGAGAAATATTCCCAACAAACGATACTCAAATAATAAAACGGGGTATCACTTCCTCAGGTTTGGAAAGTACATCTTACATGCTGAAGGGCCGACGCTAGCAAAGCCTGGCACTGGCAGCGCTGAAGACAGCTGCACAGTCTCTCTGTGTGGAAGGTGGTCTTGGAGCCGCGGCCCCACCTTTAGGGTTGTCAGGGGAGGGAGTGGCAGTGCACAAGCCGGGACGCAGTGTGGGCCCATGAGGGTGAGGAGCCAGGGCTGCAGCTCCCGGAGGCCACATCGGTCAGGACTCTCAAGACCAGGGTACCCCCCACCCCCGCTTCTTCCCCTGAGCAGGGCTTAGAGGATGCACATGGCAGCTTCTCAAGGGTGGATCGCTGCGTTCCAGCTGCAGCAGGTGTGAGGAATGCCAGGCCCGGACCCACTGCTTCACGTGTGCCGTGGGGGGTGAGGAGTCCACGTGGCAGAATCACAGAGAGTTTGGGCAAAGGCAGCTCCCCACTGGGTGGGGCAGAGACAGGGCAGAGAGAGAGCGTTCCCATCCCTGCTTGGGTCCCACCTTGCCCTTCTGAAAACCGCTGCCTTCGCAGTGGTGCACATGCAGGAAAACCAGAGCCCAAACCCAAACCAGCGCCCCTCCCAAGGAATAAAAGTCAGGCAGTTTGAACAAATGCAAAACAAACTCAAAGTTAGTATTTTTCTTATTTGAATAAAGCAATCAGGAAAAACAAGCCCTTTCAATCTTCCTAAAAGGAAAAGGCAATAGGGTTGGAAAGCCGAGGTCCCTTCCTAGAAAACGCCCACCTCTGGACTGAGGGTGTTAGACCTGTGAGCAGCGGCCTCACCGCTCCTGGAGCCGGACAGGCATCGCATCGAGGCCTGTGCTGTGTAAGCGGTGTTCTTAAACGGAACACGATAAAATCCAGCTCTCCAGCCACAGGCGGGAGCACCTGGTGTCATAGCCGCTCTGGTAAGTGTGGGGGTCACAGGCCTTTGGAGTGACACCAGGAGAGGACCTGAGGGTCCCGAGACCTCCTGACCTTCCTTGGGCTGCAGAGAGAAATGGAAAGAGCCAACAGCAGAGAGGTTGCTGGTAGCAATTTCTTAATTTGGAGTCTGTAGGGTTAGGGTTGGGGTTGTGAATCCTAACAGTGCCTTTACGGGTAAGGTCCAGCTCACCTGGCACACGTTCTCAGGGCGCTGTCTGGGGAGTGGGGAGCTGGTCCACTGTCACTGTCACTGAGACGACCTGTGGGATGCTTTATAACAAGCCTCAGGGTGGTCGGGATTCTTTTTATTCCTAGTGCTTGCTGAGTTAAAGACGAACCAGGCGTTTTTCCAGAGTGATTTATAAAATTTCTCAAATTCGAAAAGCTTGGACTTTTTACATGAACTAACACCCTACCCTGAAGAAAAAAATCATTTGTATTTGGAAATTTGAGAACAAGTTGGCCAATAGTAATAACATCATAATAATACCAAGCTTGCCATAAAAAGTATAAAGTGTCCCAGGCAGGATATTATAAACTTGCTTTTAAAAAGGGAAATATGTAGTGCATTTAGAATAATTTTTCCCAAAGCAGAACCCACGGCTCCAAAGTCCTTTAAATTTCTTTAACAGTTTATTTTTGTTGTTCTTAATCAAATTACTGTATACATATATAAATTTCAAGAAATTGTGACATATATTTACAAGTGAAATTTCTTCATCACTTATTAAGAAATTTTGTGTATTTTATAGAATTTATATGCTGTCATTCATTTCATTTATGCCTCTGTGTGTGTTTATTTACCTATAGTATAAATATATAGAGGTTTTTCTTTTTTGGCCTTTTTGAGACAGGGTCTCACTATGCAATGCAGGCTGGCCTTGGGCTCACTTTGTAGCCCAGGTTCAAATTTGCAGAGGTCCCTGCCTCAGCCTCCCAAGTGCTGGGATTACAGGTATGCACCACCATGCCTGGCTAGATTTTTTCTTTGCACATATCAACTTATAATTCAGTTTTTTCATGTAAAACTGTGGACATTTATCCTTTCCGTGTAGATCTGCCTCATGTAGGAACCTGGGGCCGTGTTCATTTCCACCATCAAGACATCACTTCTGGAACAGCAGTCATAATTAGATGGAGGGCTCGGAGGCTCACAAGTCATTCTCTAAGATCGACCTCAACTCACCTCTCCTGCTCTTGGGGGAGCTTTGAAGGTCCTTTCCAGAAGTGTTCAGTGTAGACACTGAGCAGGCACTGTTAGCTGTGAATTCTGCCTTTGGTGACTGCAGTCAAATTTCAGTTAACCTGAGAGCCACCTTTTCCTGTTGTGTAGATGGAACCACGGCTGTTCGCTGCCCAGCCCCTGCCCACGTTATGCCCTAATGCTGTTGTTCATTGGCCAGAGCTACAGATTTCTGCACCAAGAATCCCGACTGCCACTTCATCTCTGTGGCTCACTATGGCAATGGTGTCAACCTTTTCTGCGGGGTTAGCACTACCACAGGACTTTCCACTCTGAAGTTACATTATTCCTTTAACATGAGAGAACCTAGCACGAAGGTAGCACTGCCCACCTCAGTTTCCAGCACACCAAAGACAAGAGGCACACTTAGAGCTTTCTGAGAAGGCCATTATCTCCTGGTCACTTGGGTCAATGTTTTATTGCCCTGATGGGAAGAGTACTTGTTTTCAGGCAATGCCTGGTGGACACAGAAGGGAGATGTGTGAGCAGTCTAAAATGTCTACCTCCACACTGTTAGCTCTCTGGAGTCCTTACTTCACACTAGGGCAAGAAGGTTCTAGCATTTGGCGTTGTGAAATTGGTTTTCACTGACCAGACTTCAGTTGCCAACAAAGGAAACTACCCAAGGTACTTAAAACTGCTTTGACTGGTGCAGTGAATTCAAACTACTGGTAAGTGAATCTTGATGGAAAAGTGGGCTCAGTTTCCCCTTATACTTGAGTAAAACGTGGCTCATCATGTTTCTGATGTCCAGTTTTAACAAATCCATCAAGTCATACAGTGAATACTTTGTCTCTTCCGGAAATAGGATAGGAATTCTCCGCCTGAGGGATGCTGAGATCTGGTTCACACTACGGGTACAGAGCCAATGATAGACAATAGGGATGCGTTTTAAGATGAAGCGACATCTCTTTGTAAGCCAAAAGCCCAGAGGAGGTCATTAAAAGGTCTTTCTGCCTGGAAAGCTTGTTTTTCTCAGACAAGAAAAGGAGACTTCTTCTTAACACCAAATAACCTTGGGGCGACTTGGTGAATCAAAGTTCAGACCTTCAAGTCTATCTAAATTTCCTCATCACAAATCTCACAGTCCAATTTCTCAAGCAATGCCTTGACCTTTTCATAAGGTCCTCGCTAATGTTGCACATTTATAAAACAGAGCCATTCTGCAACCACACAGTTATGTTTTTGACCCAATCTTCAGGCATGTCTACCCCGTAGTTATTAGGTTAAAAAAAGAGATTGATTCAAGGTCATTGCAGGAGCGTTTTAGTTCTCATTAAAGCTTGGGGTTGTAAATTGATGCCTTTCTACTTAGGGTTTCTTATTTGGTTGATCTTTTTCTTATTTTTTGTAAGTTTCCCGGAATAGTCATAAACAGCTGGCCACCCTATTGTTTTTTACATTGCCATAGAAAGGAAGCATAAAAGCTGTTATAGCAGGCTGTCCATCTCCGGCCAAGGCTGGCCATACCCTGAGAACTGGTCATTTTCCTCCCAGAACACCAAGCATTTACCACATAATTTAACAAACCAAGTCCAGAGCACCAAGTTGAGGATCTGCTTTAGTTGGCTACTTGTGGTTTTAAGTAGTTTGTCAATCAGAATCCACATGAGGAATGGCATTTCCCCCTCAGTAGTTTTTTGAAATGAAGAAATTTTACTGACAGTTACATTTTGGGTATTTTAATTTTTTTTTATTGGTATATGATTGTGCTACATAATAATTACATTTGTTTTACAATTGATAACTCTAAATATATCATATCTTGATAAGCTTTGATCTTCTTTCCTTCTCCCCTTTCCGTAATCTCTTTCCCCATCCTGCTCCCACTACCTACTATTTCTCTTTTATTTTGTTCCGTAGTTCAATTTTATTTTGAGTTTCTTGAATGAAGACTACTCTGGGAAAGGTGTGATGGGTGCTGAGATATTGACTCATCCATACACTAACATTGACAGGAATGAATGCCCACCACTCCTAGGAACAAAGGGCCAAAGAGTAATCTTGTATCCCAAGGAGCACAAGAGAGCCAGAATTGTGGAAAGAGGTCACCCGCAGGAAGGCTTGGTTGTGAGGTTTGCAGTGAGTGCTAAATACACCTGCAAGCACACCTGACAGGACAAACATTCTCTGACCTCTCCACTGAGTGGAGTGGAAATGAATCAATCCTGGAGACTGGAGATGACCCTGGAAGTCAACTTCCTCCCATTTATGGGAAGAAAAAGGGATGCTGGATGGTGAGGGAGGAAAATGTTAGAAAGATGATTATCTCACGACTCAAAGCATGGTGTGCTTATGACTGTCATTTCCACTTCCCACATTGTGTTAATCGGCTTCATGTTACTACAACAAAATACCTGACACATACTACTTACAAAGAAAGCGTTTTACATTGGGTTTTGTTTTTGGCTTATTGGTCAAGAAGTTTGAGTCTACCATTGGGCATCCAATTGTCTGGGCCTCTGGTGAGAGGGCAGTGATGACAACGGCCACGTTGGAGTGGCAGCCAATGTTGCTTCCCCAGTGAAAATGCAAACAGAAGGAGAATCAGTAGAACTCCCACAGTTCCCTTCGAGGACAGTTTCCAAAGATCTATGGAACTCTCACGAGGCTCTGCCTCTGCAAAGGCCACAGCACTC